GTAAGAAAACATCAGTCATATAGGAGGGGGCATCTCGTTTATTGATCAGACATAAATTGCCCTAGGGTAGTTATTAACACAATAAACGTAGTAGACAAAACACGGAAATTCACTAAAACAAAATTTCCAAAATGAACTGATCAAAAGCGGAGATGCCGTCGAAGTGACAACTCCTAACGGAGAGACTCCTTAAATATTAATTTCTTAGCATAATTACATAACCTGCATACCAACGAATCTACATACCAGCACAAAACTATCTTACAATAACAACGTGAAAAATTATATTTAGCTATTGCGTTTTGGTTTGAGTCAGGTTGCATTGCTGTCTTTTAAGTCTTTTGTTTTACTATCCGCAACACCAGGAAACTACAGTTTCATAGTCTGTTTGTTCAAAGCTCTTTTACTTTCTCGTAAGAATGTCGAGCGCGCATGCGAAACAAAAAACGGGGGAGATTAAAGACCCAGATTTAGTCAGAATGCATTGCGCGCTGTGAGCATTGCAGAAAACAATAGAGACCTCTCTACCATGTACGCCACAACAATTACAGACGCGCGAAAAGCCTAATGGTCAATACTGGGTCTTTAAATTCGCAATGCGAAGCGGTACGGGGTGGGTAAAGGAAAAAATCATTAAGGGTTTTGCATTTAATTATATGCTTTCAGTTGAATCGTCACAAACGGTCCTTACATTCGCTCTTAATTTAACCTCTCTACAACAGCCACATCTCCATAAAGACAACAGCCCTTTAAACGCGTCCCAACTCTCTATTGTCCCCAAGGTGGCCGTTTTGGAGAGTTTCGACTGTATCCTCTATGCAAGGGGTCAACTAGGAAAGGTTAAAGCCATTTTTAAAAGACCTTGAGTAGATTATTAACAGCCACATAAATGACAACTGACAAATGGCCCAAAATATAACTAACAAATAGGCGCATTTTAACTGACAACTGACATTTGCACACCCCATTCAGACCCTCGTCATATATTTGCACCCCTTCTTGTAATCGGAAGACAAGTTATCACAGCATAGTGAAATAGCTGTGGATCCACCAAGCACTAGTTAAATAAAATGAATGGAACCATTAATTTACCTGCTTTTCACTCTTCGTGGAAGGACACTCATTTCTAGAAACAAGTTAATTTGCTTTTTCTGCATTTTTTAAAAAAAATATCATATTCTTGTTTTACACGTTCATTTCCTACAATCAACTAATTTCAAAGTTGACGAAATATCACTTTTGTATTTATTGGTGGCCTTCATAGTAGAATTATCAAATGTCTGGATGTTGTGTTGCAGTTGTTATACGATGCCTGACGGGCCGGATAAAGATGTAATGCCACAAAAATCAGCAGTGTTAAAATGATATCATTTTGGCTCACAAAATACTAAAAATTGAACAATTCTACGAATATACAACCTCTATAACAACGTGATCATTAGTAACGTATTCACAATCATCCGCCTTTAAACTTCAGAATAGGAAGAGGACCAGCAGCGTGCACCATTCGATTGACAGCTCTAATCAGTTCATCCTTTTGTTCGTCTAAACTCTTTTTCTCTGTTTGTCCCAATAAGAGTCTTGCCACGTGCTCCTCGTGTTTCTTGTACTCGTCTTTTCTTGTAAACATCCCGCATATGATTTTGTCATAAATTGAATTATCTTTCGTCCATTTATCGCGTAACTGAATTTTTCCTGAACATAATCGATGCAATCTTGTCGTTCTCTTTTCCCCTATTACGGCCTTTGCTGTGTTTGCTGCAAATAAGGATGTCACGCAATTAATAGGCACCTTCCAGTTATATAATGGCCTTAGTTCCAAAGGCGTAGTGTGCATTTTCCTTTGGGGAACACGCACCTAACAGGGTTTGGGGGAATGCCCTCCAAGAAATGTTTTCTTCAGGATATCTTTAAAGCCATTTCCCATGTTTTCCAGTGAACAGTTTCATAAATCAATGCATTGAAGAACGTTGAGTATTTAGTGACTTATGTTGTTTATGAGTAAACCTTTAGGATAACTGATATTGGATTTAACAGGAGACTAGAGACTGTCAAACCAACAGATTTCATTATTAAAGACGCTTTTCGTCAATGAATACATATATTTTTCTGGAATTCTGGAGGTATACGCGAGTGCGTACTTGCGTTTATGGTTGCTACGCCCCTGAGTTACAAGTAAAATCCTGCTCAAAAGTGTGTCTCACGAAATGACTTTGTACCAGAATCAACCTTTATACTTGTAGATTGCATTTAACTAAACCAATATTGATCTTTGGCTTCTAGTCAATAAACTTGTAAATAACAGTTACCGGGAAGCTGGAGTTTCAAGTTTTACTTACGATTTCCTTTAGGGTCTCCCAGAAGATATTTTAGCCAAGCTGTAACAAAATTGATCATATGGGGTTGTTAAATTATAAAACTGAAAAATTGGCGCTTTCTACGTTTGAAATAAACGCTCACAAAAGATACTCGTATATGGTATAATCACTACAAAGCATAACGTCAACTCAGTCTTGAATCTGGACCTTTTTAAGATCATTTTACAACCGAAGTTCCTCTTCAAGTGCAATTCATTGAATGAGACAGTTCTTGGGTATGTTTTGCTTGATCAAACAACCAGGAGGCTAAGAGGTTTCACTTTTCTAAATTCTTGAGCCCTGGCCGACACACTTTAAATTGCAACTTCTTGATATCCAGAATGGAATTACTTCGTGTATGCTGTCAAATTTACTGGGCACTTGGTTGATCGGTATAATTTGAAATATTGCTCAACATACAAGTTGACGTTCGATCTTACCCTCACAAATTCTGCCATAATACAATTTTGGAATATGCGTCCAACTTTCTAAGAATTAGAGATGATGGCAGTAGCTACTGTTGATTATCTACTTACCGTATTCCCACGGTCTTTGTCTGTCGATTTTTATCTCGCGTTTTTGTGCTCTTCTACTGGAACCTAAAAATAATTATGTGTCTTGTTTTTTTACTTATTTCCAAACATTATGACGGTACACCCAATAAAAAAATATAAAATACGCTAGGTTTCTAAAAATGTAACGTTGGTTAACTAACGCAGCTAAGGTTATCTCGACAGTCACACAAACTTCACAAGTCGTAAGAGAGGATGGACATTCGATGAAAATTATTTCTCTTTGCTATGTAAGTATTTATATAATCCTTTGTGCCCACGATGTGTAAAATGAAGGGCCATACAAGCTGGCAACAGCATAAGAACATTTTGTAGCCTGCAAACAGGCTCCCGGCGAAGGCGGAACAAAAATCCGGCGACCGAAGTGAGCCGTTTAGCGAGAAATAAAGAATTCCGCGAAGCGAGTAGAGGAAAATGCGCTCAACCTCGTCACCAGACTGCTCTCGGCTAGCCCCGTTCCCCATAGACCACACTCGGCTAGCTCGCACTAAACCCAACCGGGATTCTTTTCGCAGGCTAAACATTTTGTTACCTTGTAAGCTACAACGGGTGTGCTTGTGGTAGACTTTAGATCCAGTTATCACTACCCCCTGCAGTGGTCAATCGCTACTTTCACTTTGTTACGTGATAACAACTTAATGAATACTAGCATTGGGGCAGAAATTGTTCAAAAATTTGTATGACTAAGCAAGAAACTCGCCATAAAGTAGCTAGTCCTTCTCTAAAAAGAATTTTTATCATGATTTAGCACCCGTCGAAAATCTTGTGATTAGGAAGTCCATTTGAACAAAGAAGATCAATGAGGCGTTTAGCCTTGATTGTACGTTCATCTTACCCGCGGCGACCACCTCCAGACAAGCTATAACTGCTGTGACGACCACCCACTTCATTCCCTTGTAAACATGGCGTGCAACTCAATCTTTGTACCCTAAATCGAAAGTAAATCAGCTTTACATAACAACCAGTATCAAATGAAGAAACGAAATACGTGTGTTTAAACTTGTAAAACCGTTGTCCAAAACCTTTTCTCTACTGTAACATTGGCTAGTGCTCGACAACAAATCTTCATGGGTCGGAAACTATCACGCATTGATAGTTTTGAATTAAATTGAACCGATTGAAGTAAGTAGAGTGAAAACGGATACTTATTCAAATTACCTGCCACCAAAAAATGATGTCAGTTACACGACATAAAGAAGTACTTCCACTTACCAAAACGTTTTCCTTCGTCTAATCGAAGTGTAGTCGCTTTCAATACATAACCGTAATCCCAAACACTGTCATGCTTTCCTTTACGTTTTGCGACATACCGGCTACTTTTAGACCCCGTAGTTTATATGACGTAATGTTTTGCCACCACCACAAGCCACTTGCTGATTTTCTCTCTTTGTTCTGGTTACTTTTGAGCTTTATTGCCCTTAACTGGTTCTTGTTTAGCTCAAACTAAGGTGCAAGTCGTTCTGTCTAGGTTTGGCCCTCGTTTTTCCATTTGACTTGCTATCAATTGGGGGCGTATGAACCCTGGTTTCTATTATGGTACACCTTACAGTCATACCTGCTTCAACCTGTTGTCATTATTCATATATATAAGCACCAATCCCCAGCTCCCCTAACAACTCCCTTGCGTTCCAACCCAAAACGTTTCAATTTTTCCTGCTGACATATGTTTTGTGCCTGAACATGTATTTCCCATATGCATTTCCTATAGTTCACCTATATTTGCTTCATCTGTATAATCCAAGCTTCTTTGATGCCTTTTTGGGATAAAATTAATATGTTTTGTCCATAATAAATATACTTCTTCTTAAAGTTATATGATCTAAAGTGTTTTCTCCATCGGTAAAGTGATAAGACGTCTGAATGCGAAAGCGATGCTCATTGATTTTGTAAAAGCAATAATCATTCACTTGAACCAACAGACGTGAGCTTAAAAAAACTTTTTTTTTT